AATTAATAAAATAATATCGATTTCATTGACATCGTTTTTTCCTCACTCAAAATATGAAAAGTTACGAAATTTTTTCCGTTCAATTTTTCACATTTTACAATTATTCTAACTTTTGGCATACGATTAGATTAATGAATTTTTTAATTGTAAAAATAATTTCATCTTTAAATTAGCATTTCATTTTATTTCAAGCATCATTTTAATGATGTTAGCTTAACGGTAATATTTATAAAATTCGCATTACTTAAAAAAAGAAATTCAAAATAATTTTTCAATTTCAATTTTTTCAATTACCAACAATCCAGAGACATTAATTACCTAATAATCAAAAACGATTATAAAGTAATTTTTCCATTTCAATCCATTTAATTACTAATAATACAGAAACATTAATTACCTAGCAATCCAAAACGATTAAAAGTAATTTTTCAATTTCAATTTTTTCAATTACTAATTACCCAAAAATATTAATTATCTAACAATCCAAAACGATTAAAAGTAATCTTTCAGTTTTAATATCTTTTAATTTATATTTGCATGCTAAACGAAATTCCATTTATTTATAAATTACAATAATATAATATATTTTATTCAAATTAATACATGAATCAAATTTTTTCAAAAATTTTTCGAGTAATTTCATTGATTAATTATTTCTTTGGAACATTTTGAATTGTATTTATCATGATAAATGTATATCAACGATAGTTATATCATTCATTTATCATTTATAATGATCATTAAAATTAAATAATTTCGTGATTTATTAATTAGCACTTTTGTTTATCGTTAATTTTCTTTTTTCGTCTAACTTTTAATTACAATTTTTTTAATGTCAAAAAGAATTTTTTTTTTTTAAAAAAAAAGAAAGCTGTAATTATTAATGAAAAATGCTCACTTTAAAATCGAGAATGGTATTTAATTCATCTGCTCGTGGTATATCTTTTTCTTTCATAACTTTGATATGATAAGTTCGATTAAATCGTTCTGGACCACCTCGAGAATCTGCTAACCACTAAACAAACTCTTTCTATTATCATGATTTATTCATGAAATTTAATCACTTATATAGGCTATAATTGGTATTACAATGGTTTAAATAAAAATTTTACAGAAAATTAATGAGAATGTATCATACTTTGAAGTAATTTTCAGAAAAAAAAATTGGAAATTATATATTTAATTTTAATTTAAATGAAATTTTCATTTTCATTAAATGTTTTTGCAACATTTATTTTAGTAAAAAGTTTTGCAGTTGCCTAAACATATCCATTTCTATCAAAATTGGCAAACTTTCACTTGCAATGCAAAATTAACGTGCTAACTCACGTTAACGACTCATTCAAATCATATTAACTTGTTCACGTCGTGTTACATTCACATCACATTCATTTGTCTTGCGTCACGTCATATTCATTTACGTTATATCCATGTCACATTTAACTTGCTTATGTTCATGTCACATTCACATCATATTCACTTGTTATGCGTTCACGTTACTTCACGTCACATTTACATCATATTCACTTGTTTTACGTTCACGTTACGTCACATTCGCATCCATTCACTGCTTTGCGTTCACGTTACCTTACATTTACTTGTTCATGTTATATTCGTTTGCTTTACGCAAATTTGCATTCGTTCTACTAAAATGACAAAAAAAAAGAAAAATTTTGTCGAAAATATATTTACCTCTGGAATGGTAACGAATAACATCATTATTATAGTCATTGTAATGTTGACACTAAGGACCCATCGTAAGAATGTAAAATAAGATGAGACTACAGAACCATAGTGACCTGAAATATGCAAATAATTATCAAATTAAAATATAATGGATGAAATTTTTTAAATAATTTGATTGATAATATAAAATTATGCATATTTTCCGAAAAGATCAAACATTTCAAATTTAAACATTTAATGAAAATGTCCTGGAGGGAATTCAAATTCCAAAAGTTTATTCCATTAGATTTCATCAGTTATATAATATTTCAAAAGAAAAGCAAAAAAAAAAAGAGAAAATCTTTGATAAAAGATAATAAATGATCTGATCAGGTAATAAATAATCAATAAATCAATTAATCAATCAATCATTAAACAATTAATTTACATAATGTAATCAATTATTTGCTAAAATTCAACCATTGTTTCAAGTAAATGGCGCAATAAAACATGCAATATTATGCTGAAAATAAAAAAAAAAAAGAGTATCATAATTTGATAATTAATTAAATTAAATTAACTCACTTTCAATTGTTTTAATTTTTGCTTCCCATGGTATCAAATATATCTTCATATTACTACACCATCGACCAAATGCTGTTAATTGCCTATTTGCTTCAACTTTATACAAATGCCATCGTGATACTTTCGATTGTTGACGTTTCAAATATCGTCGAGCAACCCTAAAACTCATCCTTTTTTTAAAAAAAA